GTTGGAGCTAGAAACTACCAAATTTTACCCACGCATGACCACCTGGGCCGACTTCGGATGCTTGTCCAAAAATAAGACCCCAAAACCGAAGTAAATGCTCTTCCAAGATGAAAGTCTACCATCAAAAGACTCTTGAGGCAAACAAGTGTATTACTAATTTTTTACGTAAAAAGTCCAACGATTAGCAAAATACAGTTTCTAAGGCTGGTTCGGTTCGTCGATTGCTGAAAGCTATGCGATTCCACATACCCGTCCTCACCTGAAATAATTAAAATCATAACAAATTCAGGTATTAACACTCTGTTGATTGTTCTTTTGCGTCATTTACAGCTGCAAACAGGTTGGAAGTAGAAACTACTAAGTTTTCTTAGGTGGATAAGTCCATAGAATTAAGAAGAATAAAATGTAACTCTTGTTAAATTGAAAAGTGTTTTATTGTCCTGCTCCATGTTTCTTCGATTATTTTCGATAGAATTAAGATCCGCACTGTTGACAGAAAAAGTGCTTCGCAGGCCACTGGCGGAGAGGGTGGCTGTGGTCAAAAATTAGATTACAGTCGAAAGTTGTAACAGAATCATACTTCCCTCAGCGGTGAACAGAAGCATTGTACTGCCATCTCATTACGTCCATTCGCCGTCAGTGAATATCCCTGTGACAGAAGGCATCCTTTAGGAGGCCAACAAACACATTGTGATTTATGATGCACTTCGTCGACCGCCAGATTTGTCGCTATCCGAAATTAGTGTCCGTTCAGATGATCACGCTGAAAGTCGATATTGGCACAGTGTGTTCTCATGGAAAGTTATACTTATATATGACCGTCTGGGCGAACTCCAGAGGTTTGCCTTAAGATAAGACGCGGCTATAAAAGTTAGAGCTTTTCCAAAAGGAAATTTTGCAATCAGTCTATCCCTCAGAGCAAACGAGTGTATTACTGCGTTTTACGGAAAAACTAACCGATTTGCAGACCAGAATCTCTAAAGCTGAATAGGTTCCTCCATTCTTTAAAGCGATGCAATTTCACATGCATATAAGAAAATGTCCAAAATTCCCTAAAAATGTCCTGTTTTCCTTTAATAAAACAGATTTGCCAAGATTTTTCCCAAGCAAAGTGCTTTCTGAGTTTAAAATTTATCTAATAAACAAAACGGACAGCATCACATACGACTGATCCCAATCGCCGCTATGGTCTTTCATGAATCGACTCACTTACTTTAAGCAAGATTGCCAAAGTTATTATCACTTTAGAATATCTCAAGACAGTTAATTTTGGGCTGATGTTGGTTTTTAGTCGGGCATCGCACTATCCACCTTTGCAAGTCAACTCTCCAAAACGATACGTAAACCAGCAGTGCCAGCTTTTTGATGAATCCTTGACTCCTCCGTACGTCACCTTGAAATTCTCAAAAACATGATCTCATGTTTATGATTTAAAACCCTATGGTTTTTTCAGACTGTCGTTTTGAAATGGCTTACAAATTTTCTTACTTTTTACATACACACTTTGGTTCATTCGAACGTAGATTTACCGAACTGCATGCTAAGCGCACTTTTAGAGCTGAGTCACATGTGTCGCCCGAGGAAAACCTCATCGCTCATAAAATCTTGCAGGCTACGTAACTTATATGCATTATTAATAATTATAAAAAATACCTAACTACGCAAATAACCACTCTCGTGTCTGAACACTCAGAGCATCCAAAGACTGCTTCGATTTTAAAACGTGCTATTACGTCAAGTCGAAACCCTGAAAAAGGCATAAGTGCATGCAAAATGCTCGAAAATGCACAAATGCTGCATATTATCCCAAGATTTGACGTCACATCTAAATTTAAGCAGTCGAAATAAGTGAAAAATATGAATTGCAGAAACAGTACCCTTTCGAGTTTTCGACTAGCACAGGAAGTTGTGGAGATTCTCTCGTGACATTCAACACTATGCTAAAAGTGAACTCCTCTGACATCTTCTGCTGCGCTAGTTATATTAGAAAAAAATTATTTACAGGTTCTGCTCAAATGAAATGCATGTTGAAACATTTCAGTCAGCAGTTTGCCTGTCTCAGTGCGCAATGAATACGAGCTGGGGTTTTGGGCATATCCTACAACAGCCGCAACGATAAGTAGGGCCGTACGTCCATCATTACGTCAGGCTGGGGGCTTTAAGGCCCGTGTGCGTATGTCATGCCACCTTCCAGCAAACCATGGCCCTCGCAGCCTGTGTGTGCTGCCATTTCTCTGGCACTTGATTTCCTGCCGGTGCACGCGTTTGCGCTCTCGCTGGGTGCACAGGCCATGCGCAAAGTTGCCCAGTGATTCGCACCATGCTCCTATTTCTGATGCACTTTTGTTATTGACCAAAGTCCTGTGTTTGTTGTGGACCAGGAGGTGCGGCGGTACGCCTAGATGCGGGCCTGGCCGTGTCACTCACCTGTGCCCTCTTCCACCTCCGGTCTTCTTGACTACGTCTTACCACCGGATCCAGATGAGGGAGGAGGAGGAGGGGAGAGTGCGGTAGACGCTGCGCAAGTCTACTATCACTAAAAACTGATTCACGCACAAGTCACCGTGCCTGTTGTCAACCTGTTGTTGAGCACACGGTGGGCGACGTCGGCAACGACGGTCGAACTGTCACGCCAGACAGAGTCTGCGAAATAAGTCGGGAATATGCATTGCGAAACGCAAGTCAGGATTCATTTTTAATTTTGCCCACACCTACCACGGCAGTCTGTTCGCCCATAACTAGCAAAGTAGCAAGCCACAATAAGTCAATGGACGTCTTGAATTCATGAAGTTCATGCGAAAATAAATTCTAATTGTCAGCCGGTCTGGGTGACAAACACAAAAGTCATAGCTGGGGGCCAAAGGAGGACCTAGTCGCGGCGTTCATTTCAACATCCGGTTACGGCAATGCCTGTCTAATTGCTAAATGCCGAGATTGCATAGAATGCGATTCAACAAGAACAGTCGTAGTCCAAAGACCACCGGTCCGCTTTGGATCGTCTCTACTACTGATAGGATTGTCAGAGCAGATGATTGCAAGGCGTTTCTAAGGAGAGTGTACAATCGCTGGATCATCGGGGTCGTCACTCTGCCTCAAAATCAAATTATAAGCACCTTGTCGCTTGGAGATCTAGCGACGGCTATGCTTCAAAACACGTCAACTGCACGCGCGAAGGACCACGATGCGTTAGCTATGTGTCAGATCCTGACAATGCGTGGTGTTATCGCGACCAACTAGGCCGAGATTGAGACCCTGACTAACACGACCTTCAGCCCCCGTCCCGAATGGAAAGAGAAGGCGGACGCCAGTGGAGAGGATAACATATTCTGTACTGGATAACTGGAGGAGTTGGCAGCCGGACGAGGGCACGTCCGGCGCCGACTGTGCGCCGTCCTAAGTGTCCTTCAGAGTATGCGTCAGAGCATCTGAAGACGGGCCACGTCTGACTCGGCCGCGAATCTGATTGGTCGATTGAAAAGACGAGTGAGCGAATGCCAGATAGCCATGGCCCCACGTGCAGACACTCGCAAGAGGCCCAGTGTTGAGACAGGTGCTCGGAGTAGGGCGAGGGAAGCCCTCTTCATGCTTCTATGAGGTTATATGTAACCTGCTAAGAAAAGCTCGTGGTGTTCATGCTGAAAAAACTGAAAGTATCTACACTGTTCTTTTCTTCAATTCTAACATATATGGTCGACTACGGCATAGCTTTCGCCAGCGCAATTTCAAGGCATCGAAATCAGACCGCCGTCTTGATTTTGTCATCCTCGACATGACCGTTCTTTGTGACCGATGTGCTAGTCCCGAAGCATCTCCAACGAAAGTGGTGCCATTTATGCTTTTGCGCGGGGTCGGGCGAACGAGAGGCCTATTCGGTAAAATCCGTTTCGGAATACGTGGAGGAATTCATCGTGAATTTCGAATTTTGCGCGGACGCATTATCGTAATGGCGGGGCCAGTCACGGAAACCCGTCAAGAGGTGACCCATGTCGAAGCAGAAGAACCCCCGTCTAGCAGATTTTCCAACTCGAATTCCCCGCTGGGTCAGACAGGGTTATGCAGCTTTACCTGAAGTAAACAGACCCCAGCCACCTGTAATACGGGACCAGCGGTAATGAGGGTTTTTACAGGTGGGACGGGGGAACGCACAGGCGACGGGGTGGAGCAGTTGTATGTAAAAGAAAAGTTATTGGGAATGCGCGGTTGTACATTGAGTGGTTGAGAAATAGTTGCCCTAATCCCTAACGCTAACCCCAACCCCTACAGTATTGTGTTCATTAGGTGGGTCAATATAACCACATCTCACCCCTGCAAATCCGTTATCGAAGACCTTCTTCGTGAGAAAAAAATTATGACCATTGTTTTTCCGGACGATTTCTGTCATTTGCACTTCTTTGCTAAGATCGTCCCACCTCTTGATCACCCTGTGCTTTGGGGCTTGAAGAGGCGTTAGTTCAAATAAACCCATGCCTAGAAGCGAAAAGACGAGTCCCAGGAAGCAGTCTTGAAGAAGAAGAAGACACGATCGCCGGGACAATAGCTTTATTAGCCTGACGTTTCGGATTCCTGCTCGAATCCATCATCAGAGACATAAGCAGATAAGGGTGGTTCATGCACCTGTGGCTGCAGTATTTATAGGATGCAGTAGCCATGCCACCGCATACCTATGAATGTTCACGGCTCCCTCCCCTTCATCAGGGATCGTTGCACGTGGCGTGATGGTCGATATTCGCGTCGTTAATTGTAGCAATTTCATCACGTGCGTTGGATGTTGGTGTGATGATTGCTCGACCATCTGACGCGCTGACCCGGGTGTTGGGAAGAGTGTTCATCAGGGCGCTCCCCGTGTGGCCAATTTCTCCGCCTAGACGAAGTCTCAGCACGCTGTATTGAATGGGAAGTTCATTGCACTTGTTAATAGACTGGGGGCCAATGAACCATGACTCAAGCAGCTCCCGGCTCACGCGGTTGTCACTTCTTGCGAAAATTTCGGCCTCGTCAAATTAGAATGTGTGGCCGGAACCCGTCGAATGAGCCGCAACTTGAGAGCTGGCGTCGTTTCTCCGCACTGCTGCAGCGTGTTCGGCCATTCGCGTTCGGAGCTGTCTTCCGGTTTCTCCGACGTAGTTGCTTTGTCCGCAACTGCACCAGATCCGATAAACGACTCCAGACGTTTCTTGCCGTGGCAGTGGGTCTTTTGGTTTCATCAATTGACGCCTGATGGTTGCCTCTGGCCTGTGTGCAACTCCAACCCCCAGCGGTGCGAGAAGGCGGCCAACAGCTTCCGAAACGTTCTTGACATATGGAAGCGCTCGCCAAACTTTGGTGTCCCTGCGGTTAGGCCTTTCGTCCATTTTGCGTATGCAGCGGTTGACAAAGTTGCCCGGGTAGCCATTGGCTTTGAATACCCGTCGGAGGTATTGTAGTTCAGCAATTTTGTCTTCCGGCTCACTGCAGTGCGTTTCGACACGCCGATAGAGCGTCCTTACACAACTGCGTTTGTGATTGATTGGGTGGTTGCTGTTGAAGTTCAGTACTTGCATCGTATTTGTCGATTTCCTGAACACTTTGGTCTTTAGTCCACCACAATCCTTGCGGCATACGAGGACATCCAGGAAGGCCAGCTGGTTGTTCTCTTCCTCCTCCATCGTAAATCGTATGTCCAAGGAGACCGCATTCAGACGTTCCTTGAATGTCAGCAGCTGATCTCGATCGATAACGACGAAGGTATCATCCACATACCGGGCCCAGAACGTCATCACACCAACATCCAACGCACGTGATGAAATTGCTACAATTAACGACGCGAATATCGACCATCACGCCACGTGCAACGATCCCTGATGAAGGGGAGGGAGCCGTGAACATTCATAGGTATGCGGTGGCATGGCTACTGCATCCTATAAATACTGCAGCCACAGGTGCATGAACCACCCTTATCTGCTTATGTCTCTGATGATGGATTCGAGCAGGAATCCGAAACGTCAGGCTAATAAAGCTATTGTCCCGACGATCGTGTCTTCTTCTTCTTCTTCTTCTTCTTCTTCTTCTTCAAAACTCATGTCTCCTCGCCAGTAACGAGTAGGGAGAGCGGACCGGATTTGTCCTCGTTTCAATCCAGGAGGAATACTTGGGCGACGTCTTCGTGGCGTCAGCCCTCATTGTCAGACAGGCCATGGTGCACCCATCGATTGGGTCTACCGTTGTGACCAAGATTGTCAACCGGGTCATGTGAGGCGCGAAGCACTCAAACTCAATATTGTCTGGAACCTTTGCATACTATTTTTGGGTCTTCTTTCGCCACTACCTCCACGCTGATCATGTTTTACTCAAAAAATGGCACACTTTGACGTTTTCTGCGGAAGGTCATCAACTTCAGACTATTCAGCATCGAAGTTTCCTGAGTTTTGTCTCCAGGAGCTATCCTGTCGCAAGCAAGGCCGTTGGGTGAGTGCATTGCAGACCAGCTCTTTGGTATATGAGAAGTTGACGCGACTGATAGACAATCAGACGTGCTTCTCGTTCCCACTTTGTGAGAAGGAAACAGCTTTCAAAGACGTTATGGTAGTGTTGGCTACATTGTCAACATATCTGTTTTTACGGGAAATACCCAAAATCGCTCAAATCTCTTAGCATTTCGCATACGACGACTCAGTGGGCTTAGGATCTTTAAATGGACGCTCGACCACTGGAGATGTTTGAAAAACGAATCCTCAGGCAAACGGATTAAGGAGAACATGAGCGATAGTGGTGTGCACGTCTAGCTGGGCGAATCTACGGTAAATATCATTTTATTAAAAAAGGAGATATTTCTTTGCCGATTTGAAGGTGGACTGACTGATCGTCCGCTTCCTCTTTTTTTTCAATTTGTTAGTAAATATCCGGCAACGTTGCAAAGTCCGCAGTCCTGCAGACTTGCAGTGTACCGATCGACCAATTCGTCATCCATGTCAAGGAATATCATGTCGTACGGATTTAAGTGCGTACGTAGTCCTAGGAAGCTGAAAAATGTACTCATCCAGCGGGAATTTAAATGCGCAGTGCTGAGAGATTCTATGCTAAATATTATGCGCTGGAAAACCATAGCATTACATGTTTTAAAGACGACATTTAGAATGTGACATTGATGAGCGAATCCACTGGGACCGTTCATCTTTCGTTGAACACACACACACTCTCGAAACAATCAATAATTTGTTGTTAACAAATTTTGTAAGTGCGAGCTACGTATTTCATACATTACTATGATTTACTTGTCTGCACTGATTCACATTCACATGAAGTCGAAATTAATCATCCGATCTACGGTTTGTTTGCTTTCCAGAGGCACCAATTCACGCATAAAAGGTCATAGTAATTGAAAAAAGTGGTTAGACTTAATATCGCTTCCTAAAACCCTCCGACATGCACAAATGCAAAAGTTGTTTTCAGAGAAGTTGTTGAGCCGTGGTAGTTTACGCCTGTTATCGAGTAAACATTTTTCAACAGTTTACTATTATCTTCGGACGAGTAGAACAGAGAGCCAGTTTGAAGTGGTCGCCGATGTGAGGCGACAGAAGTCGAAATTAGCCCGAGGTTTGCATGTTCTATTGTAATACCAGCTTCCTATAAAGATGATGGCTTTCCTCACAAAGATGTCCGTGGATTTGACCGACCATCTATAGCTTTCTTCTTTCAGTACGGCAGTGCATGCCAGGCCGTGTGACAGAGCTCCCGGTCCTGCGAAAAGTCGATGTGCTGACCAACTAATTCGACATCCAATGACCAGCACACCATGTTGTATGCAGCTATGCTCGCGGTCCAGACCAGTCCACAAATAGCTTTTCTTGTAAGATGTTAGCTGCACAGGTCTCCTTGAACTCAAAGATCTCATTCTTGGCACTGTCGATCGAGAATGCTTTGCTTGAGGGGGCAACTGTTGATTCACCTAGCATAAAACCTTTCCAAACAAAACATTCCGAAGATGACATTGAGCATAAAATGTACTTGACGCGTTTGGCTCACGTTTGGCACTCTCTACAAACAATCCAGCAATTTGCTCTGAGAATATTTAGCAAGTGCGAGTGACGAACGCCATAATTACTTATTCGTCTCAGTTGGCTCTTTCTCACATGCGGCTGCAGTCAGTCACTCGGTTCAGAGCTAATTGGCCTCCTCGAGGCGCCAAATGACACAGAAAAGCCATAATAATTGTAAAAACGAGAAGCACTAAACACGCATCGTAAAGTTCTGTTGACATGTAGTTGAGATCAGTCACCGCATGTGGAGCTAATTAACCTCCTAGAGGTGCTAAATCACACAAAAAGGTGGAACGCAACACATTGCGGACATGAAAAAACGCAAAACTGGGTGCCACTGCAGTAGTTTTTGTCAAGTTTCGGGCAAACTTCCTTGGACAGTTTACTGTGGCCGTCGGACAAGTAGAAAGTACAGCTAGTTCCAAGTAGTCGCTGGACTAAGGGGACAAGAATTCAGTACTTTGAGAAACAGAATGGTAGAAAATTGTCGGCCCACCAAACCGACGTCAACTTCGAAATGCAGTATGAATCCGACCCTATTAGCGCCAGCGTACCGTAACTGGATGAATCATGTGGGGAGCGCCGTGATACAACGCTCCTGCAGCACCGCTTTCGTCGAGTCAAACGTGTTTGCACTAGCCCTGCCGAATCCGCAAATGATTTCTTGGTATTGAGTGATTAGGGAACTATCCAATACAATTAGAATATGGAGGCCGCAAACTTCCTCTCAGTTTTCCTCTCTACTATCACGCGAACGAGGCTTTAGGTGCCTTTATGGTATCTATTTGCGTCTTTTGTTCAACGTTTGGACTTTGGAATGCTGTTTTCAAGTAGAAGACAACGAAGTAAAACGAACTTGAGTAGACTGACGGTGACGATATCTCGGTAGACATTTGCTCACATTGCAGAGGCAGAGAATACTTACAAATTTCTGAACTAGATCCAGATGAGGTCGGGGTCGTCTGGAAATCCTACACAGCTGTCGGGACATTGAAATGGCCACTTCCGACCTTATGACTGTCATCTGCGTGCATTAAACCAAGACTCATTCCTGTCAGTTGAGATTTGAAAGCCCATTTTCATCGTCTACTGGGGATTAGCACATGAAGTACGTTCTCATGTCACCTTGCACTGACATCGGAAAGTAATCTTTAATACGCAAGGCAATCATAAGTGCTAAATGTACGAGCTTGGGAAGCCCCATTGACTGACATTGTTGCTGCTGCGGATTACGCAATAACTGTTTTGGGGTTCGACTTTATACATAGAGCTCTGTAAATACTGTGATAAAACAAGGTATCGGTGTAGATTATGGGCCAGGGTCAGGCAAAACTTCATACGCGCCCAGAGAATAAGACTTGGTCATAGTAGTAAGATGGTTTCAAACTACCTATCTATGCTCAGTATGTTGTGAAGTGTTTCATAATCACAGTATCTTGGTTACGATATTAAACAAGGAATCATTAGTTTCTGTTAGCGAGGATGAATACTACTGACATGTAAGATTTCAACAAACCATCTAAACTGACATCCGAAATGGAACTTACACGGTGGCGAAAATCGAAGTCCCCTGAACGCAATTTATGAGATGCCACTCTTGTTATATGGATGCTTTCATGCTGTGACTATCCTCCATTTCTTCGAAGCCTTGGAATGTGATGCATTTTGGAGATCACCGAGGTTAACCCTCGGAAGTAAAACTTTTATATTACTTGTAGTGAGACGGTGATGCGTACGCGGGAATTAGTCTAATCCTTTGGTCGTCCAGAGATTTCATCGGACCTAATTGTGTAAAGTTGTCAGCCTCGTTGGAATTCGAACCCACGACAGCAAAGACAAGGATGTGCGAAACATTCAAGATCGGCAATCAGTCGCACTGAGGAGGCGGATAGAACAGCGAACATTGCGTCCCACCAGGCCTGAACAAAAATACAATTAGCTTTCCAAAGTGATGGCCTACGTATCAAATGTGATGATGCACTGTATCTGTCCTATGCGATGTGCTGAAATTATGTGTTTGAAAATTGAAAAAAATAATGACAAACCAATCGTCATTTTGATTTTACGCAGTAAGGTTTGCACTGTCAATTTTATCGCCTCGGATATGTTTTAGGAAACTCATCAGCGTCGCCAATCGTGCGCAGAATCTCGCATGCGTATCATAGTGACAGTTGATGATAGATCAGCATCTACAGATAGGTAGACCAAGATTCTGGCTGGAGGGGGATATAGTTAACAAGACCACATTCCTCTCCTCTTAATGTAGGCAGTCACCGATCAGGGGATATCAACACAAGGACGAAAATATAGCTTATGTGACGTATGAAATACAAACTGATGAAGGAGTTAAATGAGGCTTTAAAATTTAAGTGGAAAGTGCAAATCCCCGGAAGATGCAAATGACGAGGATAGTTTTGGGAGTTGTGATAACTGAAAGAGAAAAGGGTGGAAAAGGATAAAGCATTAGAAAGCAAAAATTCGGAAGGGAATTCAACGGAAGTCTTTGTGATTCAGACGGTTTTTGCTAGCAGGTATATCGTGATAGCTCAGTAACCAAATAAATATGGTCCAGTTGCAAGGTTCCACCTTTCAAATTCTACGGTCATGTTTCTTTTGTGGAAGCGGCGTCAATGACTTCCTATGACTTAGCAGTGACCTGTTAATTTTCCTCCAAGCAGTCTCCAATCCGCGGTCAATAGAGCTTCGACTAGGTCCGTGATTGGTGTTTTGGGCAGAAATGG